ATATTAGTCGATATTAATTAGGTTAAATATGAGAAGTTATGTTGGAGTATCCTCTACACATGCTTTAGTATAAACATAGAAAAAAGACCTCTGGCCGTAACAGTTTTTAAAAGTTGGTAATATCAGTTGTCCTTTTGTAACAGATCTAGCTGAATGACCACTTCCAGAATTTGATTTGGGCAACAATGCACAGAGAGTTCCATTATTGGCACCTTCGAAGATTATGATAAGATACTTGTATAAAGTACCTCAAAGTGATACTTGAGTAAAAGTACAACACTGTTATTTTAAATTTATTGCCATCATGTGGCCATTGACTCCTATGGGTTTTAGTTCCGGAGCAATTTTACCAAATGAGTTGCTGATATCAGAAAGTAATATCAGACTGATTATTCAGGGGCGATCATGTAATTGTGTTTTAAATGGTTTGTTAGCATTTTATATCATAAATTATAGAAAAGAAAGGGCGGAAAAAAGCAATCATTGGTTGCACATCTGCAGCTGATCAAACTTAGCAAACACAAAAATGTCAATTTAATCAGTTTTATAGACACTTAGCTAAAATTTGGCTGGGAATCAATCTTTACACAGCCTCACTGACGGATCCTAACAGATCTCATGAGATCTTTGTTTATTTAACTGAACGCTTGTTGCATTTTAAATCAGTGTTTATGTCGACTACAAAACACATTATTGATGAGTTTTGCCTTTTTTGTTTTTTTAAATCTTTTGCAGGATCTCAGCTGAATGCACAACTAGAGGGCTGGCTGTCCCAAGCACAGTCCACAATCAGACCAGCTAGAGCCATCATAGCACCGTAAGAACACAAACTGTGAAAAAATAATTTAATTCAAGTAAATTAAGTCTTTTTTTTTTAGTGTACTGACATGCCTTCTTGCAGCCATGCTGGATACACCTACTGCGGTGCTTGTGCAGCACACGCCTACAAGCAGGTCGATCCCTCCATTACGTAAGCTTTTCCATGTTTTTCAGTTAAAATGACTTTTTTAATCTTTACACCTGTCCTACAACAGAAAGATTAGAGAACACCGTGCTGTTGATTATAAAAATAAATAACTTTTTATTTTGTGAGGTAAAGTCCTGTTGCTCTTCAGTCGTAGGGTGTTCATTCTGGGACCTTCACACCACGTGCCCCTCTCCCGCTGTGCGCTGACACCTGCAGACATCTATAGAACACCGCTCTATGACCTGAGAATCGACCAGAAGGGTATGCCTGGTTTTGTCGTATTCTCAGTTGGMTCACGTGTGCAGCTCCCAAAGTGACTATTAGTAAATGACGACGTGCACGAGTTCCAAAAATGATGAAATAAAATGTTTTGCAGTTAATGCTGACCTCTTGAAGACTGGGCTGTTTGAGAAGATGAGTCTGCAGACGGATGAAGATGAGCACAGTATTGAAATGCACTTGCCTTACACTGCTAAAGCCATGGAGAGGTAATGTTTCTTCTTATTTGAACAGAAAATGTTTATTATTATTATTATTATTATTATTCCCTCAGCTAACTTCTATTGTCACTCTGAGTATGCTGCCACCACATCAAATGTTAGCTCATCTTTTTAGCTGGTTCTCATCACTGATCCAGTGAAGAGTCGTTCTGTTTTTTTTTAAAGCTTAAAAAACAGATTATATTTTCTGTACCCATAAGAAATGTTTAAATCCAACATTAAAAAGGTAATCTGTTGTTTCAGCCACAAAGATGAGTTAAGTATTGTTCCTGTGCTCGTGGGAGCTCTGAGCGAGTCCAAGGAACTGGAGTACGGGAAGCTGCTCAGCAAATATCTGGCGGACCCTTCCAACCTCTTCATAATCTCATCGGACTTCTGTCACTGGGGTGAGTTAATAATAAAAAAATAATAAATAAAAAAAACACTAAAGGTGACGTTGATTCTTTGCTGCTTTCTTAAAATACGATAAACTCATTCGGCTGTTTGCCGTCGTCTTTTTTTTTTTTTTCTGCTTGAAGGTCAGCGGTTTCGCTACACGTACTATGATGAATCCCAAGGGGAGATCTACAGGTCAATCGAGCATCTGGATAAAATGGTAACAGCTGAGATGTTTAAAATGGAACTTTGTGGCACATTTAAGTCTCAACTATGATGTTTTATAACGAGAGGAGCTCGCCTGTATTTGTGACTTTCTGTTGTGTGTTGCGCATTAAGGGAACATCAGACATTATTTAATAAATATTTACTTCAGCTGTAAACCAAAGACTGTAAAAATACTGCTAGTTTTTATAAATTAAAAAATATATATTGTCACGCGGACTGCGCCATACTGTTTATGCCCCGGTACCACGAACTGCTTCAAGGAAGGAGAACATCAACTTAGCCTGTTAGAATTCTCGTTAGCGCCCTAGCTAATACAAATATGTATATTAGCTTGGGCGCTAACTAGGGATGCAAACAATTAATCGACTTACGATTAATTGTCGAATAATGGTTTATTAGATTAAAATTTCTTCCATTTGATTAATTGAAAACACCCGTTTAAGCCTTATTTCAGTGTAGTTTTGACTTCATCCAGTAGATGGCGCTGCTGCTCTCAGCCTGGCCTTACTTTACCTCGGCTCTGTTGAGCTGAGCAGAGAGCCGTCTCAATGTGGGCAGCATCATCGCGCAAATCTTGTTTCATTTTATTTGCGACACAACAATAACAACGGACTAAACCAAACTCAAAGGAAAAGTATCGAAGGTTGTACCGGACCATCCAGCAGTATGACGCTTAGAGAGCAGGACGACGGAGAATGTTTAGCTAACGTTAGCTTCTTTTAGAGTTCGACTCTGTGTGAAAGAACCAAAACTAAACAAAAAAAGTTAGTCACTACAAATAATTACTGTGAAGTTAATCTCATCTGTGTGATGTAACCCGGCCAGTGAACAAATCAAATAAACAGTAACTGACATCAAATCAGTCCAGATAGAACCACAGGGAATGTAAACAAACACAGTTCCAGTAATCATTTTTATGTTTACCCCTCTCAGGTCATGTTTATAGTTTGTTTTTGAGTAAATCTTTAGATTAAAATGTTACCCCGTGTTTAAATGTTAGTGTTACATTTCTCTGTTCAGGGTGGATCATGTGTTTTACTTCTTTTTTCTTTCCTTTTTTTTCAATTAGCCTAACAGATTCCTGTTTTGTTATATTTTATAAATATGTCCAAGTTTAATAATGTGTGAGAAATCCAMAATTTTCTGTTTATTCAGTCAGTGTTTAAAACAGCTGGCACAATAAATTTTATAAAATAAAATACTGTACTTTTTTATTTAGTGTGTAAAAAAAAAATAATAAAAAATTAGCCCTTCATGTTATTGAAAGACCCTTGATTCAAGAGAAATGTCAGGTTTTTAGGAAAATGGCCGCGTATCAATTAATCGTTAGTCGATAAGATCAGTCAACTTTGGATTAATCCATTAATCAATAACTTGCATCCCTAGCGCTAATGTGATAGCTAACTAATAAGCTAATTGGCTTTCTAGTTAGTGCCTTAGCAAATACATACATGCATATTAGCTTGGGTGCTAACACCATAGCTAACAGGCCTTTTGGCATTCTAGTTGGTGCCCTAGCTAATACATGCATTATATTAGCTTGGGTGCTAACACAATAGCTAACAGGCCTGTTGGCTTTCTAGTTGGTGTCCTAGTTAACAGTCCTGTTAGCTTTCTTTTTAGCACCCTAGCTAATACATACATGTATATTAGCTTTGTCACCAACGCGAAAGCTAACAGGTCTGTTCGCTTTATCATTCGCACATAGCTAATCTGTACATGTATATTAGCTTTGGGGCTAACAGGGCTGTTAGCTTTCTTGTTAGCACCCTAGCTAAAACGTACATGTATATTAACATGTGCTGTGATCAATGCATGATGAAAGCAGGAACCAAGATGTTAATTTTCTATACCCTGGGTTCATTCTTATGATTTAGCTCAGCTGCTTCTTCTTTTTTTACTTTCACAGGGAATGAGCATTATAGAGCAGCTGGATCCCATGTCGTTCACAAACTACTTGAAGAAGTACCGCAACACCATCTGTGGGCGCCACCCGATAGGAGTGCTGCTAAATGTAGGTACCGTGGAGGAAATGACCTCACAGAATCCAACACAGGGGGTGTCCAAACCTGCCCTCTCAGCTAACGCCACACAAAAATTTAGCTCATTATCTGTGTAATTTACTGAGTTAATGCCATTTTGTGTGTGCATTAGCTGCGGTGGCCATCTTGGATTTGGTTAACTTTGAAAATTAATCAGCTGCAGATGGATGAAATTCTAAATCTAGTCACTTCAGGAACTAATTGCTTCTCACTGTTTTTCCAGGCCGTGGCTGAGCTTAGGAAGACCGGATTAGAGATGAACTTTTCTTTCCTGAACTACGCCCAGTCGAGTCAGTGCAGGAACTGGCAGGACAGCTCCGTGAGCTACGCTGCCGGGGCGCTCATCGTTCATTGAGGTCAACTTCTGCAGGGGCCACAGCAAACCGCCGCCGCCACCCTGCCCTTACTTATCTTATCGCCATACCCCTGACCCATGAACCCCACGACCTTAAACTCCTCCCCACTCAGTTGCACCCCCTACTTACGAAAAGGACTTAGACTTTCAGAACCGATGCGATTATCTCCCCTTTCTTTTCCCCTTCCTCTCAGTTTGGAGCCTCTCAAAGCTTTTGGTTGAAGTGCAGTTTTGAGAAGAGAAAATGGAGACGAAACGAGTCATTTGAATTTGGCTCAGACTAAACTTTGGACAGGAAATCTCTTATTTAGGTTGCAGCGATCTTTGAATCATTATTTTCCTGAACACATGGAAGATATGGAACAACACAATCTATCTTGTAACTAACTCACCACTACGACGGTGTATTGGGGCCACTTTGTAGATGAAAATAAGGAGGAGCAAATCTCAGAAAAAACTCAGAATTTCTGAGATTAGTTTCAGAAATTTTTGAGAAAAAAAATTAAAATTTTCATAATTAAAGACAGAAATTTGCAACCTTAAAATTTTCTGACATGGTAAAGTCAGAAATTTACAAGAAAGAAAAAACTCATCTTTCGTTTGCTCTAGTTTAAAACTAAAACACGTAGAAACTTAAAACCTGGACTAAATTATTCTACACTGATTGTAGAATATTTAAAACTAAGTGTGTGATTTGCGAAGAATAGTAGAATAATTTAGTCCAGGTTTTAAGTTTCTACGTGTTTTTTTTAGTTTTTAAACTAGAGCAAATGAAAGATGGTGGTGAAAACAGGTGAAAGCACCCTTTAGCCATTCCTGAAAACTTCAGGTTTTTTCTCATAAATTTACGAGTTTTTTTTCTTGTAAATTTCTGACTTTACCATGTCAGAAAATATTAATGTCGCAAATTTCTGTCTTTAATTCAGAAAATTTCGTAGTTTTTTTTCTCGCAAATTTGTGACTTTTCAACATAAGAGAATTTCCTGTTTTTTTTCTCAAATTTCTGAAATTAATCTCAGAAATTGAGTTTTTTCTCGGAGATTTGCTTTCCCTTTTTTTTTTTTCATCTGCAAACTGGCCGTAATACACCATCGTACACCACCTCAAAGTGGCAGTCTGGTCATTTTTGAAGCGATGTGTCGTCTCATAGCTACCGATAGTTAGGACCTGATCAGCCGCGACATCAGTCAGTGACAACGGAGTGCAAAAGTCTTCATCCAGACTGAGCTAATGGCTAACTATAAAGGAGCCTTCTCGTTTTTCAGGCTTATGAAGYAAAATGAAAATTTTCCCGTTCCTGCAAACTCCGTTATCGGTGACCGTCATCTCGGCTGATAACGTCTTTTATCTTTCGGCTGCTCTCTTCGTCAGYGGTCACACGCGGCGAGCAAACTCGCACGAAAGATTCGCCAATCGTTTTACTCCGTAAGCCTTTCCTGACTGGGCTGGAAGACCGTGGCTCTAATCCATCTGACGAAACATCTGTTCAAAACTCAGCAGATTATCTCTTTTTAAAAAGAAACTAAAATATTCAGAAACGGATGGAGAGTGTTCAGGAAAAAAAAAAGAAATATGCTTCAAACCTAATGCTACTATAAAGTGTCATAARTAACTGCTAGCACTGTTTAGCATATGTCGCTAATAAAGGGCTGCACCCACTAACTCCCTACTGTAAGCAACCAAAACCATTATTATTACTATTATTATCATTATAAGATTGGTTGATTAAATATATTTTATTCACCTGTTTTTATTTTTAGAAGTTTTGATAGATGTGGTAGTATTTACTGAATTAGTGAGTAGATTTGAACAGCAGCTTTTGTCACTTCAGCTCTGAAGCTGTCGGTTCAGACGGTGTGAAACACTGACTCTTTATTTGCTTAAAGCAGCAAAGATGTGTCGTTTCAGAGGGCCAGACTTCAGACGCTACAGAAACATAAGAAAATGTGGATTTGTGTCTTCACCGACTCTTGTCTTTGTTTACACAGCCTCTTTAAAATTCTGTAGCAGYTGAGTACGAGAAACAAGTGATTTTTTTTTTTACTTATTTTTTCCTGATTTTGTAGCAAATATCTTCTGTTACATATTCAGCAAGGCTTTTGGTTTGGCCCAGCAGGGAAGTCTGCCTTTGTAAATTATAAGAAATATCTATTAAGAAGGTTATTTAATTATTATTTTTTTGTTTTGAATGAAAAATGCCAAAAAAAGGTTGAAATTTGTATCAGTTATTCTAAAATTAGTAAACTACTTTATATAAATTGTTGGATTGAAACCAAAACAATAAATAAATAGATAAATTAGATTTAACCAGATTTTGTTTTGGATTTAACGAATTAAGACAAATTTTTGCTTATTTAAACATAAAGCACAGAATCCCAGGAGGATTTTTAACTGGTTCGAGGGGCAAGAATAATTTAATAATTTCTTGTAGCTTTCATTGGAAATTCGACGATTTGCTACGAGAAATTTACGGGAGTTGAACATCAGCTCCCCGAACTTGGCGCCATAAAATGTGTTGGATTAAGATTAAAACAGGGTGGGGTGGGGCAGACTGAAAGTTCAATCCCAGACTCACCTGACCTCTAATGCTAATTTACAGGAAACTAGCAAAGCATGACACACTGTGCTATTGTGCCTTTTCTCACTGTTGCACATTTATATATAAAACGTGTTTTCACTTTCAGTCTTATTTGATGTTTTAGACTGTGCTCTTCTGTTTATTATTTTTTTTTTAGTTTTTTTTTTTCCAATCTCCCCTTTTGCCGACAGCTTGATCTCGTCTCCGGCTCATTTACGGGCCTTTCCACCTCGTCTCTTGGGTCTAAAAACAAAACACAACAAAAGGAAAAAGGCACCGACTCGAATCTCCTGTGACCTGCAGGGAGTGGAGTTCTGTTTCGTCCACGTCAACTTGTAGCGAGTGAAAAGCTTAACCTCAACACTGTTCCTTTTTTTATTATTATTTTATTCTTTTTCTGTTCATGGATATTTGTCATTTTAGAAATGTTTTTCTTTTTCGTATTTTGTGTTTTTTCTTTGAGAATTGGAACTTACATGTCATTAACCTAAAATATACTGCTTAACTACTCCCGTAATGGAGTTTTTTTGATCTCAGGTTCCACTGACAAAACATCCCTAAAGGCTGTTCAGAAAAAGGCAGAGGATTCATGTTACAAAAGAAGTAAAATGTACTGAAAAGCACGTCTGGTCTGGTGTCCTTTTCTGATTTAAAATGTAAAAAAAAAAAAAAAACCACTCCTGCTGCATGCCTTTGACGTTTTCAACCATGACAAATAATTCTGTAAATCTATTTATAGCTCTGCAGCTGTTAGATAAAATCATCTTATCTGGGGAAATTCTGTTTGCAGCAAAAATTAAAGGTCCAACATTCCCTGAAAGAAAATCAAAGCTCTCCAACAATCAGAACTAAGTTTAGCTATTATTTTAACTTTAGCTTTAGAATACTTTTTGGTAATTTTAACTTTATCACTTCCTAAGTGTAGCATCTGTCTAATGCTTTGGCGTAGCTTTAACATAGCTGTTTTGCTAATTTTAGCCATCATTTACTGATTTCACCTTGAGCGTCTCTTTTAAGTTGGTAATAATAGTTATAGCTGTGCTGCTGTTGGCTTTCTGCTTGTGTTTTGCTGCTTTTAAACGAGTATTTTTGATCATTTTAGCATCCATATTGTTTTTTAGCTTTAGCATCTGTTTTGCTAATTCTAGACAATTTGCCAATTTCATTTTGAGCATCTATTTTACTTGTAGCTACTTTTCTCTTGATTTTAGTTTTTGACCTATTTTGCTGCTTTTAGCTAGTGTTTTACAAATAAAGAAAATAAACAAATAAAGAAAAGCACTCTGGAACTAAAAATTCAAGAAGATGAATATACTTATGATCATTATTAAAAACAATTTAAAAAGATGCTAAATGCTAGTCACAACATACAGTATTTAGACATTTTTAGACAAAGTTGATTTGATTTATTTATTTAACAGGAAAAGATTATTGAAACTCAAGCTTGACTCAGCATAATTGCTGTTTTACAGCAGGTTCCTGTTCTGCAGCACATAAAACACTCAGAATTACAGCATCACAATCACATCATTATACACCATAGACACAAAGACAAACAAGCATACCAAATTTCAAAAAGGCAGCATTTGCAAAATAGGACATCTAAATATGAGCACAACAAAAAGTGTCCAGCAGATGGCAGACAAGATCCTTCTTAAAGGGCTGTAGTTTTGAAATGGACTTTATKTTTTGAGGAATGTCATTCCATGCTTTAGTATAAACATAGAAGAAAGACCTCTGGCCGTAACAGTTTTTAAAAGTTGGTAATATCAGTTGTCCTTTTGTAACAGATCTAGTTGAATGACCACTTCCAGAATTTGATTTGGGCAACAATGCACAGAGAGTTCCATAATTGGCACCTTGGAGGATCTGAAAATATAAATTAATACCACTATACAAAACATAATTCTGAAAAGTCAAGGCATCAGACAATGAAAGAACTGTACAGTGATGAGTCCAACCAGGAAGTTTTTTATGAATTTTGTAGGCCCTGTTGTAGAGCCTAACTATGGTTTCTAAGATTTCATTTGTTGTAAGAGACCAAACAGGTAAACAGTACGACATGGTTGAGAGTATAATGGCATGAAGATAGATATTTGAAACAGAAGATGTCAGATTGGATCTAATTTTTGAATAAACATRTAATTTCTGTTTCAACTTAGTGGTTAAGACTTGTACATGATCACGATAAGTCAAATGAGAATTCAAAGTAATTCCAAGATATTTGTAGGTAGTGACAATATCAAGGTGTTTGTTCAAAAAAGTGAGTTGATTTGTTATATTGAAATGTCTCCTGGGTGAGGAAAAATACATGCACACAGTTTTTTAACATTAATTGACAAAAGATTATCTTGAAGCCAACCATGAAATGTCTGAAGATCTGTTTGTAACTGACTACTAATAGATTCAATATTGAAATCAGACAAAAAAAGAACAGTATCATCAGCATACATTAAAATATTTGAATACTTCAATATTTTTGGAAGGTCATTTACTATGTATAATAGGAAAAGCAATGGGCCCAGTATGCTACCCTGCGGAACTCCCACGGAACAGGGCAGAGACCCGGACACAGAGCTTCCATGTTTCACAACCTGACACMTATCAGTCAAATAAGAGGAAAACATTTGTATTGCAGATGATGRAAGTTGAAAAGAAATCAACTTTTKTAAGAGAGTATAATGATCAACTGTGTCAAATGCTTTACGAAAATCAATATATACAGCACCAGTTACTTGACCTTTGTTCAAAGCAGCACATATTTGTTCAGTGAATAAAATTAATGCAGACATAGTTGACCTCGACATGCAGAAACCATGTTGGCTATTGCTTTGCATTTTATTAGCTTCTAAATGCTGAAGTAGTTGATTAAATAATGTTTTTTCAAGTAACTTAGAAAAAATAGGAAGAACAGAAATTGGCCGATTGTTTGAAACTTCTGTTGGATCACCAGTTTAAAAATGGGAGTAATCTGAGCAAACTTCCAGGCATCAGGGAAAATAGACTGCACAATACATAAATTAAGCAAATGATGAAACAGTGGTATAAAAGTGTTGGCATGCATTTTTAAGAAATCCATATTTATCTTATATTTGTCAAATGCATGTGAGCCATTTAGAGATTGGAGTGTATTCAAAACATCACTGTGAAATTTCAGAAAATGAAAATTGCTTTGAAGTGTCAGGATATTTAAATAACTTTAAACTATTAGCTTGTCCCGGTAATGATGTCCTTACTGAAGAAATAAAATGTTCATTAAATAAGTTAGCAATTTTTTCATTATCAGAAACAAGAAGTTGAAGCCAAAAGCAGCTTTTACCAAATTATACATGCTAATCCAAAATTCAAGATGGCCACCATAGTTAACTTTAATGCTATAATTCAACCATTTAAAGACTTATTGAGATGAAATTTGTTAAAAGAATGATCACATGCCAATTGTTGATGCTAATTCCAAATTAAGTTAACCGCTAATGTTAAAGCTAATTTTACAAAGGACTATACTTCACCAATTTTTAAACATAAACAACTTAAAAAAAACTTATACAGAGTAATATCACAGACAATATTTAACAAATTCTAAATCCAAATACAAAATCCAAGATCCCTACCCATTAGTCAAATATTTGGGGGCCAATCAAGTGGCAGAGGTGGCACTTGCCACCCCAGCCACCTCTCTGTCTCCACCCCTGCCTTTAACCCCACCCTGAAAAAAAGGCAGGAAAAAGGTAATTTAAGATTTTTAGGTCAGCCTTCAGATTAAAAAAAATGTGTAAAAAGAAACAGGAGCTGAGTTTTTGTCAAGAGACTCTTTGAAATAGTTTCTCACAGATGGTTGCTAATCTGCTCCGAGATTAAATCTAAGAATGTGTTCGAAGCGGGATTGGTTAAACAGGGCCTCACCTCTGGCTGTGTTTGTTCGGTTCATGTGAAGAAAAGAACAGTCATAACTCAGCAGGGAGGAGTCAGGACTGTTTACATTTTCTGAGCTTCATACAGATGCTTTAGATTTGCTCAGGAGTGGAAAGGACCGCAGGAACCCGAAGCCCCCGGACCCATCCAGGATGCAGTGCTACGAGAACCTGGTCCACTATCTGAGCTGTGGGATCCTCCTGGCAGGACTGGGCCACCTGGTCAGTCACAGGAAGGCACAGGCCTCCTATGGGCGCCATATGACACCTGCTGCTGCTGCCACCAGGACTTTGCCTGCCAGACTTGCCTGGTTCCTGCAGGAGATCCCTGCTCTCCTCATGCCTCTGCTTTTCATGCAGTGTTCACATACATCCTCTCATTTAGGGAAGGACATATTCCTGAAGACATTTTGCTTGCACTATTTTCAAAGGTAAGAGCAACTGTTTAAATCTGAGTTCTGCTGGAACATGGTGACCTTTTTGGTCTCCAAAGAGCTAAATCAGKGATATAGAAACCTACATCTAGCTGTGAAACATATTCTGCTTGGATGAAATGAATAATCTGCAATCTCTCATCACATGCAGGACATTTGTCTACTCTTTGTTGACCAGAGGGCAGCCTTTTCCAGTGAGCGTGATGGTGGCAGCGRGTTTCTTCTGCTTCCTGAATGGTTTCCTGCAGAGCCACTATCTGCTGCACTGTGCCCAGTTTGATGACAAATGGTCAACCAGTTACCGCTATAAAATCGGTGAGTTAATAGTTTAATGTTTGCACTAAAGTGTGGTGGAGATGTTAGCATTTTCTGTAAAAGCCTCATGGAGAAAGCTGCTCATTTTATACCACTGTGTTATTTTGTTTTAGTCATGAAAAGGTCTTTTTTTTAAATGAAACCTGACTGAAGTGTGGACTGTGAAACACAGAGGAGTGGATGGTCAGCGCTTTTTGTGATTTTTGGTGGATTGAAAATTTGGGCCTAGTGCTGCTGTTCCAGTCCCTAATCCTAATCAAACCAACATCAAAATGCCAAGAAAAGGYGAGGATACWTGGTCAATAAGATGCTTGAAGAACATGAGAAGAGCTAAAGATCATGTGTTTGACTCTCACATGGACAGCTTGGTAAAAGATGTTGAGGACTAGCCTCCAATTTTCTCAAGCAGATTTGGATGATCTGAAAGCTCCTGTGTTCAACGTTGGTGAAAACTTTAAACATTTCTGACAACCTTGATGAATATCAAACCCTCTGTAAACAACTTGGCAGGAAAAATGGATCATATGAACCAATCAAGAAGAAGAAAAAAMCATATTGATTGAAGTGGGAAAGGAAGGACTGTGAACGTCTGAAGATATGATCAACCTGGTCTATTTTGATTGATCTGCTTCGTTAAAAGGACAAACMGATACTGAAGAGAGTCAAATCCCTTAAAGGTACAAATATCTACGTTAATGAAGACTTCTCTGGAAAGGTCTGCATGAAACGAAGAATCATTGCCTCAGTTCAAAGAGGAAGAAAGGAAACATTGCCTTTCTGAGATTGGATCAACTGGTCTAACTAACCTTACATCTGCAGGTGTTTATTTCTGCTGTTAACCATTTGTAAAATTGCTGGTTTAGACTTTAATATTTATTTGTTTGTTTGTTTGTTTGTTTGTTTGTTTGTTTAGCCAGGTAGATCTCATTGAGATTAAAAATCTATTTTTCAAGAGACCTGGCCAAGAACGGCAGCAGCACACAGACATTACAAAATTCAAAACTACAAATATTGAATTAAACTACAATCAAATATTTCATGATAAATAAAAGAAAAACAAGAAACATGCCTAAAAGGTAAGATAGGACTAAAATACAGTACAACATCAGTTGAAACATTTACAAATGTCTTAAGTGATTAAGAATGGCCCTAAAAACATTAAGAGACCAACTCCTTCAACTTTATTCATGATAAAGAGAGATTGTATAGGGAATCTGTTGACTCAGATAGAAAATTTTTAAAATTTAAGCTTAAATAATATGTGTAATTATAACAATGAAGCTGATTTTAATACTTTGACTAAAACGTTGACAAATCAGGGCCAAAATAATATTTGGTTCCAGTAGTTTAACCCAAAATGTTGATAATTTTATACATTTTTAACAAGCTCTGTACTGACTTTGTCTGAAACATGGATCAAAGTTGCTCAATGCATTTATGTAGGAAAAACAAAAAGGGAGGTGGAGTTTCTTTAATAGCTTGAGGACTTTGTTTTAAATAAGGATTTTGGTTTTCATATGATCAAATCTAAGGTAGAAATTCCAAATTACAATAACTTTGGAGAGCAAACTCTCATTATTGGGTGTATATATATATATATATATATATACTGCAGTGACTGATGTTTTTATTGAGGCTCGGTCATCTACTTTGGAGGTAAGTGTTTAAAAGGCCTGTATTTTTGGGTGGATTTATATATATTTTATGTAGAAGTATTTACATTTATCTACTGATTTGCCAGTAGTTTTTTTTAYAGTATTGTTACTTATTGTGATTTTCTCACTTATTCAACAAGACACAGTCACGACTTCTATTTTTCATTGTGCAGAATAGCAGTTAAGCAAAGTGCACTTACGTATAGAGGGTCCCTCATTTTGGAATAACCTACCACCAGGTCTTCAATCCACTAGTGATATTGATGCTTTCAAAAAAAAAAAAACTTTTAAAATTGATGTTAATTTAAAATGGTATGTGATAATAGATTTGTATGGTTTTTGACTTTTTTTTTTACTCTTGCTTGCTATTAATTCTATAATGTCATAGGGGAAGTGATCTGATAAGACTCTAGGGTCTTCTCAACCTCTCCAGCACAGCTGTGTTTCTTGTGTGTTTTATGGTTTCTATATATTTTTTATGTGCAAATAAATCAAACCGAAACAAAAAGTTTGCTTTTGGAAGGAAGSCTACAACCGATTGTTGGATTCAGGAGGTGCAATGTGGCTTTCGGCCTCACCATGGACCAGTGGACCAGAGCTTTACCCTTGCAGAGTTTCTAAGGAGGTGTTGGGAATTGTACTCTCCAGTCTACGTGTTTTGTGGACCTGAAGAAGGCTTATAACTGGGTCCCAGGATTGCTGTTAAGGAATGGTCTCTGTATAACCAAAGCAGGAGCTCTGCTTGCATTTTAAGCACAAGGCTGAGCTTGTTCTCAGTTCTGGCTGGACTCTGCCAGGTCTGTCTTTTGTCTCTGATTCTGTTTGTGGTGTTCATAGACAAGTTGCAGTCATGGTTATCTTGTTTGTTAACTTTGCTCTGCTTTATGCAGATGATGTGGTTCTGTTGGCATCTACAGGCCGAGACCTTCAACGTGCACTGGGCGGTTTGAAACATGGCTGGAAGGAGAGTTTACTCCACTAAGTTTGAGGCTGTGGTTCTTGATTAAAAATGGGTGGAATGTCCCCTCCATGTCAGGGGGAGGAGTTAAAGTATTTGGACATCTTGTTCATGAATGTTGGTAGGATAGAGCTGGCGATAGTGTTAGGCKGCCTGGTGGCCTCCTTGTACAATTTGCTTTAGTGTTAATAAACTCCTTTTTTTAAATTAATGTCACCGCTTCATCTTGTCCCATTTATATTGCAACCTTTTGAGCCAGTGGATCGTATAATAATGGGGGCTCGTCCGGGATGCACACTTTTGTAACAGATGGCTCCACGTATCGGCAAATGGTGCATTGTGCTGAAGAATGAGTTAATTTTAATTTTTTTAAAACAAAAGTAAATCATTTAAAAAGCTGTTACAAAAGTTATCTATTTAAGTCTTTAAAGTATCAATAAGTATCCAAAAGTAGTTTGACAAAAACCAAAAGTGAAAATAACAGGAGTGTGAACGCCTACTTTGCATTCTTAAATGTAAAATGACTGCTGTATTTCTTTCATTTTTACCCTCGAACACACATGCCCAATTCTTTTTTTCTTATTTTTTTTAGGTTTACTGATGTTCTATATCGGATTGGCCATCAACATCCACAGTGACTGCATTTTACGCAACCTGAGGAAATCGAAAGAAATCGTTTACAAGATTCCTACAGGTATTAAACAGATTTGTTGTTTGCAGTCTGAGCTTGCAGTGATGTTATCTTCATCTCCTGCAGGTGGTCTGTTTGAATACGTGTCTGGTGCCAACTATTTAGGGGAGATTGTGGAGTGGTTTGGCTACGCAGTGGCGACCTGGTCCCTTCCCACGTTGTCCTTTGCCATCTTCAGCCTGTTCTTTATTGGACCTAGAGCTTACTACCATCACAGGTACCATGGACATGTTGGGCGAAAGCACCTCATCTTCTTGTTTCTGATTATTTTCTGCTTCTCTCTTAGGTTTTATAAGAAGAAATTTAAAGAATACCCAAAGTCTCGAAAGGCTTTGATTCCATTCATCTTCTGAGGAAAAGAAACAAAACCTGGTTTTATCTTTCAGACATGAATGGAGAAAGAATCCTGCACACAGAAGAGATTTAGATGGATGAATTCAAATGTACTGACCAAWAACAGGATTTAACTGAAGGCATATCGCCCACCGGGAACCTTGTAAATGACATAAAATCTCTTAAGAGTTGAGAGTATTTTGAGGAACTTTTAGCTGAATATTTGTAATACTGACTGGATTACAGGCATTTTTGTGTTGACTAGCTGTTGTAGATGTACACTTAAGGATTACTTTATRAAAATTTCATAAAAATCCCTCCAGTGGTTAATGGGAACATCACCCATTTAACTATGGTTTCAAGTGATAAACAGGAAAAACAGAGTTAAATTTGTTACGTGTTATTATAAAGTAATCGTGTTTAAGTGTGTTTATTCTTATTACAAATTAAAAACATAGCAAAATAATATACAGTGTGCAGTTTCTGTTGTCACATGAGCATAAATAAACTATTTCTTGGTATATATCAGAGTATAAATGTATATTTTTTAGTAAAGGTACATTTCTTCAGTCTAAATGTAAAYATTTGATTTTAAAACAGCATCAAATTGCATTAAATAAATCGTTCATGTTTATAGGGTGCCAAGTGTAAAATGAAATGTTAAAAAATTCACCAACATTTTTAATTTTTAGCTCACTTTGAGTGTCAAAAAATTTCCACTGTCAATCTATTATTTAGCTCGCTGATCTTACATTTAGCAAATTTTTACTAAATGTTAAATTTAAATGTTAAAATACTTAAATATTAAATCCTAAATCTAAGTGTTTAAATGTAAAATTTACCCCTTAAATGTTGCTGTTGGCGCTCGGCTCATGTTATGACGTTATCATCCTGAGACAGTAGCAACTGCTAGCGCTMCAATTTAGCTAAAGCTTCTTTAAAATATATCAAACTTCATGGCTGGTGTCTGAGCTCCATTTTAAACTGTTGGACCAMAGGTACCACCCAWAGTTTTAWGAACACATATTGAATTTAGATTTTAATTATTGTCTTTAAAAGTGTTAGAAGCATTAGCAGAGGTTAGCGCACCAGGATGATGTCATCGACAAACATCAACATCAGCTAGCCGTTGGTAACACTGCTGATATTTAATATCTCAATTCAAAATGAGTGCAGTTTGAAGTGCAGCTCAGACACCAGCAATAACTGCAAGTTTGATGTCGTAGGGAAGCTTTAGCTGCATTGGTGCGCTAGCAGTTGCTATTGTCTCAGGATGATGACATCATAACATGAGCCAAGCACCAACAGCAAAGGCTGCATTCCATTCCAAAACACCTAAATGTGAACTTAACATTTAAGTGGTAAATTTGACATTYAAACGTTTAGATTTAGGATTAAATATTTTAACATTTAAATTTAACATTTAGTAAAAATGAGCTAAATGTAAGAACAGTGAGCTAAATAATGGAAAATATGTCAGTGAAATTTCTTAACATTTCATTTTACACGTGGCGCCCCTTATTAGTTCACATCTTGGACCATATAGCTCACATCCAGAGCCAGGTTAGCCGTTTCCACGGCCACCTGCAACGCGTTGAGTTTAGCTGTGAAAGAGTCCAGCACACGTGGCCGCACAGAGGCGTCTCCGAGCGAAACCGCGGGAGAGAACTCAGCGCGCTGGCCGTCCAGATACGTCCACTTCTCGCTGGTTTCCAGCGCGCCGCAGCCGCAGCAGCCCGCGCTGACGTCCGGCTGTTCTCTCGTGGCGTCTGAAGGTTGAGTCCAGCGGTGAGCGTGGGTCAGATCGATCACGGAGGTCCCTCCGTCGTGCTCCAGAGATCTGGCCACCGACTCCAGGGAGCGGCAGAACACCTCCACGCCAAGGAGGTACTCTGTCTGTGAGCAGCCGAGACCTGAGGCAGAATCCCGAGCTTCATTCTTGCTCTTTGATTTGAAAAAGAAAAAAAAAAGACACGACACTGTCAAGGACGAAAACATGAAATCAATCATAAGTTTAAAGAGTGAAAACAGAACCGACCTTCTGTCTTACATAAGCAGCTAAATGGGTCTCTGTGCAGCCGCCTCCAAGTAGAGCAGATGGTTCCCTGAGGGTGAGTCTCAACACGTGCTCTGCCTGCTGGCACGCCACCTTTAGCGCACACACACGGGGAACATTACCAAACCTTTTCCATCCACGTAAACCCCCAGTCCAACTAACACCGGTTTTATTGTTTTTACCTTCAGCTCATTTAACATGGTCTCATTCCTGTGGCACAGGACCATGGTGCAGATTGCAGATCCCCCACAGGGCTGTAAATGTAGCATGGTCTTGGACCCAAACCGCCTGACACTGAGATCCCTGATCCTCCCGTAGGCCGTGGGTGGGACGGCGGAATGGAACGTGGCCACAGGTTGAGCACCTTTTTGTAAAGCGACCATAGAAGACGAGGAACAAAATAATTAGTTTATTTTAGTCAAAAAGAAAAAAAAATCCAAGAGACTTCTTCAGTCTGATGAGTTTCAGGTGAACTCAGCCTTATAAGCACTGCCTCCACGTGGACAAACAGGTTAGTCATATGCAAAAGAGGACCATCGACAAACAATAGGCTTGATTAGCTCTACTGTTCATAGAGGATCGTGTGCCCCAGCACCTGACTAATTGGTTTGGATGCTGTGTCAAGCCTATTGTTAAGCGATGACCCACTTTTGCATGTGACTAACCTGTTTGTCCATGTGGAGGCAGTGSTTATAAGGCTGAGTTCACCTGAAACACATCAGACTGAAGAAGTCTCTTGGAGGAGAGACGAAACATTTCACTAAAGAAGAACCCAYCCAGAGGACCTACTTATTTTTTCTTTTTGATTATGGTTTTGTCGTTGAAAAAATACAGTGAACTTGTTTGCATTTAATAAAAATAAAAAAACTGTTTCCCCCTTCAATAAATACTGACAGAAATTGGACCAAGTTTAGAATTCTGGTCCCGATGTGTAGCTGAGTTTGACACTCCTGGTTTAAAGTGTCACAACAGGTGTGCTGTGTGAGGAAGACTCACCTGTCAGCTGAATAAGCGACTCCATCATCGTGACTCCAAGTCTCTCTACAACCACRACACCCTGACATCTCAGGTAACCCTGTAAGACTGGGTGGACGACCTTCTGACAGACAAACACCTTCACTCCATCTTTAACCACCTGTTGGCCCAGCTCCAGGAGCTGATCCAGGATCTGAGAGTCAGTCTCCAGACCTGGGTGCACCTCCATCCTGCCATCACCCAGCTCAGGGAGATCTCCAGCCAGAGATGTACTGAAAAGCACCAGTGGACTGAACGAACTGTCTTGTTGGTTGAGGTAAAACTCTTCAGGTGTGTCCACCAGCAGGCCTGGAAACACTGCAGAGTCCAGCACAGACAGACCCTCAACTGGAACAGTCACAGTTTGACCGAGGCTGACTGGACCCGGGCTGTGGCAGGGAACAGTCAGCAGGAAAGCCTGCACCACCAGCCTGCTGATGTGGAGACACTCCGCTCCTGTCAGCACACACCCCGGTTTGCTGGAGATGCTGCTGCGAGCTAACCCGACCAGGTTCTGGCTGCTGCAGAAGTCCAGCTTAACTTTACAGCCGCAGTCATCCTGTTTTAAGTAACCGGTGCTCAGAAGCATCAAGTGTTTGTTCACTCTGGCCACCACGCCAGCTCTGAGACCGGACTGCTTTGCTCGTTCGATGAGAGAGAAGCAGAAGATGGCAGCAAATAACCCACAGTCGCTGAAGCGGTGCACGTGGTGCAGGATCGACGTTTTGATCAGATTGATGAAGGGCTCGGAGGAGGAGACGGCTGGAAGGAGAACCGAAGACGCGGAGGTGGTGACAACGTGCCCTCCGATGTTGTTGTGGATTTGTTTTAGTCTAGCGGTCGGRCCGTAACAAGAACACAGAAGCTCCTTCATCAGACGAAGCTTGTAACAAATATMTGTGTTGTCCAGAGGTAGATCCGTACAGATAGATGGAGATTTCTTCACCAGACGAGACATTCTGGAGCAGCTAATTTAGGCTTATTGGCCGGATAAATAAAAACAAAGTCAATGATGACACTCCTGACATCGCCTGAGCAGAAATCAACACACATTTGCCACCATGTCCAATATCATTTAACAAATACTTACAACAAGATTAATGAAGTGTAATATAGTAGCTTACATTAGAAATATTTTAAAAGCATTTTATTAAATTACAAAACAATGTCGAGTTTGAAACAGGCTTCGTTAAGGACACCAATAGTGACCATGGCAGAGGGATACAGCGTTGGGTCCGGTTGGGTCCTAGTAAGGACGCAAACTTTTACGGCTTTTTCGCTTTAAAATAGAGAGACTTTCCCTGAAAGCCTTATTTGATGGTTTAGTTTTACAATTTTGCCTTTTATTTTAGCTAAAAGCCGTTGCTTTTTTTAAATAAAAGTGACAGTCTAGTTTTTGGACTACAACTTTTTTTGAACTACAAAATGTGACGTCATCTTCCGCTGCCGTTCAAGCGTTTCAAAGCTGTTGGCGGTAGGCGAACTTACAACTTGCTTTGCCACTTCAAAACATACTGTATTTATCTGTTTTAGCTTCTTAAATATTTTTAAACTGTTTTACAAAAAACATTGCTTGAAGACTTTSTTTCTGTTTTAGGTGAAAGTTGCTGAAATGACTCCAATTAAATTTGTCATTAAGGTAGGTGAAAACAAAACAAATTATGCTAACAACACCTGTGCATTAATCATGTTTTCTAAATATTAAGGATGCTTTAGAGCAGTGTTTCCCAACATCAAGGTGGGGTCCTGAAAAGATTTTCTGAATTAATTACATTTTGCCTTAGTTGTTACAAATGAGTGAGGTTAGTGTATTTAAAATGGATAAATGTAGTATAAGAAATATTGCTACTATGCCCATGTTTTGTTGACCTGATACAAATGTTTATCATCCAAAAATACTTGTGGGCACAGGTCTCTGCTACTGTTATTTTGTGGGTCAAAAGCTGAAAAGTTTGGGAACCACTGCACTTTGGTTCCCAAAGTTGGGCTTGGGACCCAATTATGGGTCATGAAGCACCTTGGATAATCTCCAGAAATCAATTTAAAGGGTAATAAAATAATTGCTGATGTAATATTTTCCCTATAAATATTACAAAAACACAAAATAAGTATACATAAGTATTTATATTTGTGTACTAGCTGTTTAGATTGTCAAAAAGCCTGTGTTTTTAGGGTTATTAACAAAGTTTTTTTTTACTCAGAGCAGTAATATTTGGGGTCACAAGTTTTTGCCATGGATATTTTGTGGGTCAGAAGATAAAAAGTTTGGGAACCACTGGTTTAGATGAGATGGTCACACAAAACGTTAAAATGATCCCATTTGTCAAAAGTATATACTCTTAAATAAATGTTCATAAGTGTTTTGATTTGGAACTGAATGTGAAGGATGTGGTTTGTTGTTGAAATATTTAATAAACTTTAATATTTGCTGATAACAAGCTGGATGGTCTCACATTGTTGAACTATTAGGCCACATCTCACCTCATATTTTACATTTAAGTATATACAGTATTTGTCCAGCTGTGTTTCCAGCAGCATCGTTGCTCCTCTTCAACCATGCTTCCATTGTTTACAGGTGATTGACAGGTGCTGTTCTGTGACAGAAGCCTGATTCCATCAAATCACCTTGACGTGGGGTGAATCAGATCTTTTATTTTATTTAGAATAGGGTTGGATGATGTTGGCAAAAATGTTTTTTCACAATTTATTGTGGTATTTAGTAGGGATGAACGATTTTGGAAAATAATCGAATTGCGATTTTTTTATCTATAAAAATGCTATAGTAATTTAATAGGCGATTATTTTTAAATGTCTTCTCAAGTATTTTCCAACAAACAGAAGCAATAAATCAATCTGTTTTATAATAAAAAAGTAAGATTTATTTAAAGCGCAGATTACTATAAAGCAAACAAATCTGTGGCTTTACCTTTTTATCTAGAAATGATAAAAAGAAACATTAGAAATATGTTTCTTGTTTCATGAAACATGATAATTAAACATGTTAAGTGAACTTCCTAAACACTGTCTGAACTTCACAGGGCAGTCAACTTACTGCTTTCCAGCCAGTGACATCATGAAAAAAAAAAGTGCAAAAAAACAAAGAGAGAATAAATATCTGCTTTAACCAWCTCGTTATTTTCTAGGAAAATCTAACTCAGTTCGCTAGATTACATCATCGCCTAATATGTTTGCCAATAATTGTGATCTGAGCGATGAGAGATGTTAAATAGAAAAAAGTGAGGAAAAACACTAAATATTAAACTAAATTATTATACTAAACTGCAATCAAACTTAATGAAATTAAAACAATTTTATGACTTCAATGCTTAGATCCACATTACATAAATTAAGGATTAAATGATAATCTTAAATTTAAACTGCAGATTTAGCCATCAACGATTATTAGATGACAGTAATTTTAAGGTGGAAAATATTAATTGTTGACATTTTTTTCCCTGACGATTAATTGCACACCATACAGCATGGGTGGCCATGGAGAATGAACTCACATGAAAGAGTTAGTAATTTGTTTTGACACAACCCGGGATCAAACCTGAGTCCTCAGGGTTACAAGACTAAAACACTAATGTAACTTCAACAAAAACAACTTTTTAAAATTTAAATTAATGAAATAAAATAGRCTTGGGGTCATCTTAAACTGAAAGATGTATGTATTTTAGAGTGTTCTTTCAGATTTTATCCACTAGGGGGCAACACAGACTCATGTTTGAATGCACTGGCTCTAAGTTGTGGTGTTTCTGTTTATCCTTGTGAGAAAAAAAAAAATGTCTCAGAGGCTGTTCATCTTTTTCCAAATCTTCCCTGGCAAGCTACCCCCCTGAGAGGCTTTTGTTAATGAACACAAGCAAACAGTGCAGAGGAAACTCAGTCTATTAAAAAAAAAAAGGATCTCGGCCTGTTGCTCTCAGGAATAATGCACATCAGATGTTTGTGTTAAGCGCAGGGAAAGCTGCTGCTCTCTGTTTTGTTGATGTTTCATTTATTGAGAGTTTTGGACGACAAGCTGCAGACATTCAAGCTGATCTCTCACATCCTCCGTAATGCCGTGTGCGCCTCGTTGACCAGATATTGCATTTGCTCCTCTTTATTTGTTTCTTATGCACGCCTGCGTACGGGTTAAACCCCCCCCTCCACCCCACCCCACCCCCGGCTGGTTGTGGGAGAGTAAAACCCCGAAGGTTCGTGGAATGTTCCTTCCCACTTTGGCACATAATGACACTGTTGTGTTACTCTGCCTGAGAAAAAGCACACAGCCTCTACCACGCTTAACCAACTAACCACAGACAAGTATGTTGAAAGGCCTCAGTCCAAACAATAGCATTCAATATGCAGCCCACGACTCCTCTTTAACCAAAACAAGCGACAATATTATCATTTTTATCGCCTTCCACCGAAAAGGCGGCGATGTAGTGTCTGTGTGAGCATGCCAAGTGATCTTAAAAAACACAAAAATGCCTCCAGCTCAGCCAGCTTTATAGATAATGACTACTGTTTATTCGACGTGGCAGTAGCTAAGAGTGATCCTCTAAACATCTTCTGAGAGCTTCCTCAAAAGCTTCGTTTAAATTTTTTGATTCAACTCGATCTGTTAGCAAAATATCTCTTGAGCCACGAGGTGAAATTTAATGAAACTTTCAGGAAATAGTCATTGGATGAACACTGACAGCTGATTAACTTTTGGGGTCAATCCAATTCAAATTGGCCTCCACAGCCAGCTGACCTCAGCAACCACAAAATGTCTATAATTCAGTCAAATTTGCAGATATTAAGCTAAAACTTATTTTGGTTGTAGCTGAGAGTCATTCATAACATATACTTTGAAGCGCTACTCATTGTGTGAAACTTTATTTTTTAAASTTAGCGATAATTGTTGGCATCAACCCTGCRTGTCTGTTAGCAAAATATCTCATGATTCGCTGTTTGGATTTTAATGAAACTTTCAGGGATTAATCATTGGGTGGATTTTTACAACCGATTAACTTTTGGGGCCAATCCAGTTCAAAATGGCCTCCACAGCCAGCTGAACTCAGCAACCACAACATGCCTATAATTCAGTCAAATTTGCAGTTATTAAGCTAAAAATTATTTTTGTTGTGGCTAAGAGTCATTTACAACACATACTCAAAGTGTAAATATTTGCTTAAATATTTAGAAATAATGTTTGGGCAACAACTTTGTTAGCAAAATATTTCATGAACCGCTGTTTGGATTTTATTGAAACTTTTAAGAATTAATCATTGGGTGGATATTTACAACTGATTACATTTGGAGTCCACCTCATTCAAGATGAAAGCCTCAGCTAATCGACATTAGCCAACAGAAAAATATGTATAACTCAGTTTTACAGCTATTGAGCTAAACTTTTATATGGTAGCTTAGAGACATCACCTCAAAACGTTATGAGGTAATGTTTTCTTTTTGGAAGCGGCATGCTTTATGCATACCTTAAAGTTTTTTTTTTTTTTTACAAACAAGCGTCGAGGTGTGCACAGAAACCTGGAATTATGGAAGCATTTACGAGTAACGTTCACGGATTGTCTGCCACGTTAAGTGCCGTGTTTTATGATCTTGTCTCCCCGACGTGTTTTCAAAGCAGCTCCCTCAGCGGGCCCGCGGAGCTGCAGGAGGTTCTGGTATGCTCCTCCTTTTAAAAGTGACCTGCCGACGTGCCTGCTGTCTGCCAGGACGTTAACTGCAGCAGATCCTCACAATCTGCCTTCTATTAGCACCACTCGTTCCCGACTCTAACCAGTTGTAGTTTTAAACACAGACCCATTTTTTTTAAAGAAACAAAACGTTTGAGCTGTCACAGAGACGTTTTTGTGTGGATGAGCTCATAATGGACCACACATCGTGCCTCTGTACAAAATCATCAGGATTCCTGATTAGAAATATTTTGACACTTTCCAGCTTCACAAAGAAAAGTGTCCAAAATATAAATAATAATAATAATAATAAAAAATTTCCATCCAGGACCTGAGCTTTGTTTGCTGCGTGTTACTTGGAGATATTCCTGTCTGTTCTTGCTGCTCAAATTCCACTCGTGGGTTGTGTCCCTTTTTTTTTTGTCATCAAATAAAAAGGACTCAGGTGTGCTTACCTTTACCTGAATGAAAGGAAGTTTGCAACACTTCTGGACACCTTTTTAAAAAAATAACATTTACCTCAGTAATGATCAGCTCAGCTTTTTATTGCCAAGAATCTGGCTAGTTTAGAAAAAAACTGGAGAGGAGAGTTTAGTTTTAAAGGGGAAACCCAGGTGACTCACGGTGCACAGAGAGAGAGAGCTGGGAATGAGGCAAATAAAGCTCCAGAGCTCGGCAGACACGCCCACAGATCTAAAGAGCACCCCCCCAGGGTTCCTCGCAGATTGTATATAAAAAAAAAATGAGTCAGGAAAAAAAAAAAGGAGAGACACAAAGGCAAAGTGAGAGAGATGCAAGTTTTATTGAGTGAGACCTCATCTCCTGCCCCTTCTCCCCTCAGTGTAAACATCTGCGGCTGGTTAGTGTTAGCGCTCTGAGCTAAGTGCAGTCCGAAAAGGATCTGGTTCTTATACCAGAGCGATAGCGGTGGCAAAGGGCAGGGAGGCGGGTGACGACGCTGCAGCGGCGGCGGTGCTGTTCGGGCCCCCGTGCCCAGCCTGGGAGCTGCACAGGAGGATGGAGAGTTGGGTCTGGGAGAGAGATAAGAGACGGTGGAGAGTGTTCTGGGAACTGAGACTGATATAAACCAGAGCTTTGAAGCCTGACACAACCGACATCAGAGGGTTGAAGTCGGTTCAGACTTGCAACCCCGCTGTGTTGGGGAAAAACGTAAATAAAAACAGAAAACAAGACTCGTAGGTAAGGATGCTCCGATGTGAAAATTTCAGCCGATATCGATATCCGATATAATTATTGCTGTTATGTCTGATAACCGAGATTTACCAATATTACACACGCAAATTATAATATACATATACACACAAGCACACTTGAGTCTTTTCTTGATATCGTAAATAAACAACCAGACCTCTGACATGGCTGCCTGCTTCAGTTATTCCTGGCTGCAGCATCAATATCACGWTCATGATCAAACAGATGCTGCTCAACCAAACATCTCCCCTCCCAAAACAGAAACACAAAGCTAGAAAATAGGAAATCAATACCGGACGTTAATATCGGCTAGAGCTGGGCGGTATGACCAAAATTTTATATCACGGTATTTTCAACATTTACACTGGTTTCACAGTATACCATGGTATTTTTCTTTTCATCACAGGTCAGCTGATAATAAAAYGTACAAACACTGCTTATTGACTTTTTTCTTTTAATGTACCTCTGTGTCGTGGTTTCCCTCCTCTAAACGTCTTTTCTTCTCCTTCTGGTTGGAGACAGTAATCACGCATTTTGGTCCGGTCGTGAAGGAGGAGGATTAAGAAAAGATTATTATCGCGTCTATTGTTTTATGTTATTTAATAAAGATTATCAGAATGACTCACCTTGCACACCAGTCAACTCAACTTCGCTACAAACTACTTCCCCTGAGCTTTTCACAATAGAAGCACGTTAAAGTCTCCATGTAATCGTCTTGTGTTTAATCTAACCATACACGTCACTGAAGAGGTGTTTACTACATTCAGCAACAGCGAAAACGGGATGTTTTTTAACRTCAGTCAATRTAAGTAGTGGAATCACCACCCGCCGCTGCAATAAACGGCTCAACAATAACATTAGCATGCTAACACACATAGCGGTGCAGCGAGGAAAAGTGTCCCCTGGGAAACAGTTCACTGGCAGCCGCGACGAAATGTTCCGCACGTGTTCAGGCTATTTAAACCGGTGTGTCGATATTCAGAAAATTCATATCATAACAAAAATAAAAAACAGTATTCGGGACGAATCAGTATACCGCCCGGTACTAATACTGGCCCAGTTTTACATATCGGACCGATACTGATATTCTCGAAAATGATCAATATCGTCTGATACCGATATTAATTCCGATATATCGTGCATCCCTACTTGTAGGTTTTGCTTGCTGCTGGTAATATTGATCACTCCGGCTGCGAGGACAGTCTGAATAAAGAAGTTTGAGC